TAATTACTGTGGCAGGAAATAAAAATCAGATTAAGTGGGATTTTGTGGCACTGGAGACCCCTTCAGGCTTTTGTCTGGCAGGGGGACCGGATGATAAAGAGAGAAGGGAGCCCTGTCTCTGAATTTCTCTTTGGAGTTTTAACTCCACTCTCTCAAGCTTCGTCTTCCATTCTTGCTTTCCATGTTTAGTTCAGTCCATTTTAATTCTGTCCCTTGATTAGACCCCAGTTCCCAGCATTTTGTGGATTCTTGTTTATCAAAGCTGTGAACTGAGCTATATTAGTTTGTCTACTTGAGGATTAGCTGTTGTGGGCAGGGAAGAAATATTAGTTTAACTGGAGTTAAAAACCTACAGCCGCAAGAAAAATAAATCAGAGAGAGAGAAAGAAACTGGATAATGTGGGATCATTTCACTGTGAGTCAATCCTGGTGGGGTTTCTTTTCCCCCTGGTAACTATAAGGAAAGACAAAGAGATCCTAACAGATCAGAGTTCACATTCCAACGGACGGACTGGGGCTTTAAAAATTTTAATGTGATAAACTGCTCAGGAGGTAGCGAAAGAGTAAGTGGAGAAAAGACTAAAATGGGTGATAAAATGTTTCTTTCCTTTCCCTACAGCACTGGCATTAGAACAGCCCTGTGTACACCATATGTACAGTCATTTACCGTGACTAATGGAAATAATGTACTACATTTCATATACTGATCTCTTTGGACATATCAGAAAAACTCGTAACTGGATGGCTACATTTACTATCTAAAAGTATTTATCGCAACAAACCCTCAAGCAAAATTTCCTTTAAAAAAAAAAAAAGTTAATACCCTTAAGAGACTTTCTGGAGAAGCGAAGAAACTTAGCAGAATGCTAAGAAAAGAGCCCACCCTTTCTCCTTCCCTGTTTTGGGTAACTGCTTAATCCTTTCAGATGTTTTCTCCTGCTGAATGCTTGTCTTACGTGCAGCTTAAGATGGTATTTAAAATTGTCAAAATTCCTTCTACAATTGTATCCCTGTTTCCCCTAAAAATGGACTCAAACCGATGTTAGAAACTGGCACAGATGTTAGAAATTCCAGCCTTTTTCCAGGAAAGGACTGAGTCTGAGTGAGGTAATATCCCTTTTGGCAAATTCTTATTTCCTCCCCAATTCTGGATGTAATTGTCAAGCATGTCCATCAAAGTAGGTGGACATCACACGCAACTCGCCTGCGTGTTGCTCGGTGAGAGTTGCACAGACATCTTTCCAAATGCGGGACGTCTGTAAAAATGATCTACAGTGAGAGTGACTTCCAGTATTTTCTATTTTGAATCAAGGAGAGCACTTTGCTCTGAAAACACAGTCAGTCGGCCAGTGTAACTAACACCATGCGGAAGATTATAAACTTGAGAAATTAGCGCTGGATTTATATTTCCATAAATTACAAACACACGCAGGTGACAGGAACTAGCAAATGCTAACCCGAAATGTTTTCAATGTTTATAATTCATTTTTATTCACTGCTTATCAAAATAATCTGGAAAGGAAAAAAATAAGTCATCTATACTCAAATTAAATATGCAACCTGATGTCATGCATCAGCCAGGAATATTTTGCTGCGAATCAAATAATTTCAGAAAATCACCTCTATGTTCACCTCATAGAAGGATGTGTGTGCTCGTTTGGTTCATTTTCACCACGATTCGTGGCACACTTAGTAGTTGCATTTGACAACGGTCTTCAACATTTCACGCAGAATTGAATGGGTCTGTTTTCATTCTGGAGTTTTTAAACTTATAACATAAAATTTCAATTTCTGATGTTCATCAAGATTAAAAATAACTTTTTATAAATCAAGAATTAGGTCTGATTTCAAAGCACAAAAATAAAAGTATACTTTTGAAAATATTGTAAATGTTTACAAAGATAAATCCTTTAAAAACATTCACCGAAACACACCAGTCAATGTTGTCTTACTCCTGTTAATATGGAGAATATATTTTAAGTCCTCAAATTATTCTGATTTCCTAAACTCATCCCAAATCTCCTCTAGAAGTATATTTATATTTCTTGCTGCCCAATGGCTTATATAGTGCTTTACATTTTATCCAATAATACAGTGGCCAACTTAGAGAATATATGTTTAAAACAAAGATCTTACAGGATATGAGTAATGTGTGCTGAACGTCGCTGATAGTCTTTATAGGTAATGCCAGTATTGGCCAGGAGTCAGGGGTTAACAAGAACAGAAAGGTCATGGACAATTCTTGATGAAAGCCAGGAATGCAATAATTAGAAAACTAAATATCCCTGAGTAGAACCAAAGTGCTCCACAGAAATTAACTTCCGATGCAGTCTTCCTAAGTACCGAGACTAGCTTCCATAAAACAAACACCAAATCAGCCTCTTCATGCTCCGTCATACGTCATGTGTTTATTGACATAAATGTAACATACAGAAGTTCTCTTTAGACCAAATACAATGTATATGAACAGGAACTAGTTTTTATTATGATCGTGACGATTACTTTACCAGGTCATTGACTTTCCATCAAATAGAAGCTGTTATTAATGAAAATCAGTAAACCTAGACATTAAGACGTACCTGGACATTCATACGAGAAAATATTCTTATAATCCTTAAACTCTATGCAGTATGAAGACTGGTATCTTCATCATTGTGAAAGAGAGCAAAGCGTCTCCTTTTATAAATTGCATAATAACCTCACTAAGATAACTAGAAAAAAATACAGGTCCCACAATAAAATGTATTTCCTATTCGACCGGCTAGAGGAAAATTTCACCCAAAGTTCTAGTTCACAAAATTCCTAATCAAGAGGCCGACAGCTCATTTCGCGGCTGAGGGCAACCTCCCCACTACAATTTCTCAAAGATGGCTGAGGCAAACAGCACCTCATAACTGCAGAAAAATGGTCGCTCAGATTAAATTATGCAAACGGAGTTTCAAAATAACATGCTCAAGTTTCAGCGCATTAAAGGTGGACCTGGAAAGCATTTGCTACGTTACGCCTGGTTCCAGCAGAATTTTGGTGGGTATCGAGGGAAGCGCAAACCCCAAAAAATCCTTATATAGAAAGACCTTGAAAAATAAGTGCACAAATATCAAATCCCAGGGGCACGTTCTCTGGCCCTGGACCTGGCTCCTCCACTGACCTGTCAAACAAGGCAGAGCTCTCAGGCCCTTCTTGAGGTCTCCATCCTGGACTTCTAGCAGGAGGGGCCATCTTTGCAAAGCTCAGTCTCATCTTTTAAAAGTAAGGTATTCCAGATATGGAATTTTCAAAATGGGGATGAATTTACAGGGTAAATTATTTATCATATGAGGTAACTAAAAAAACAGTTTAAATGGCCCGTTTTCTACAAAATGGCATGTATTTTTGACCTGGCAACATTTCCTAATCACACGCCCATCTACAAAGGTTTTTCTGTGAACATAAAACTCCTAGTTTTTCCTAATTAAAAGTAAATGTTAGAAAAATGCAGGGCGATTGCAACACTGAAGCAAATTCGATGAATTTAATGTGCAGCCTAATCTTAGGCCACAAAACACTGGCCCGGCAAGAAGCACATTAGATGCTTTCCAATTAACAACTGGTCAATTCGTTATTTTTGTTTTCTAGCAAATGCACTTTAGGTTTTAAACATTTTTTCTCTCTATTGGTTTATATTTATATTAAAGACTAAAGAGGAACTTAAATAAGGGTGTGTACATAAACTGTCAATCGTATTTAGTCTTAGCTGAAATAATCAGCGAAATAACAGGAGCAGGATGACAACAGAAACTATTTTAATTTTCACACAGTTGGAAAGCTGCTAGCAGTTGAAAGTTATATAAAAGTAAATTAAAGCAAGAAGTTGTCCTCACTGGAGCTTTGTATTGTGCCAGTCAAAACACGGGAACCATTTTGTTCCGAAATACACCAGCTTTCTTGGGTGTCGAACTCGACTCCACCATCCTTCCTATGACAGAAATCAGCCTCACCAGCAGCACTGCAGCGCCGCTTCCTCCCACCCGCACCCCGTCACGGCTCCCCTGCTTCAGTTCCACGCGCCCGTGCCCGGAGCATCCCTGCAGCGGCGCCCACAGCGCCGTCCGCTGCGCCCGCAGGGCGATGGGGCTGCACTTGGGTGCGTGTCCCCGGTGTCCCCAGGTTCCCCAGCGTCGCCCAGGCACTCACTCCTCCTTCGGGCTGCGCTGTAACGTCTTAGATCAGTTCTGAGGACTTCACTGCGAGCTGAGGGGGGCCCTCAGGACAACAAACATCCTTCCAGCAAGCCCGCGCGCGCTCTAGGCCTCACACGGGGTCAGGCTCTCAGCAGGCGGGACGCAGCCTCTCCGCCGCCTCTCGCGTCCCGGGGCGGGGCGGGGGGCGGAAGGAGTTCCTGGGGCCTGGGGCCACCCCTGACCCACTCACGCGTGGCCAAGCCGGCTGCGGAATCCACCGCGCGAGACGCACGGGCCGGCCCGCGAGATGCTAACCCTGCGCGCGCGGCGGGTCCTCGCGAGGGCCTCGGTGCAAAGTGTAAACACGTCTGACCGGGCAAAGCGGGCGCGTCTTCTACAAACCCTCACCCCCTCCGCACCCAGGGTCACCCGCTGACTTCAGAGGCTCCGTGAGGGGCGACTTCTCGGTGGCGGCGTTTTACTTGCACCCCGCGCGCGCACACTCGGCTCTCCATACATTCCCGCGGCCTCCTGGGGCCAGAGAGATGAAGCACAGTCTCTGGTCCTTTCCCCCTAATTTGAGCTACGTTAGGTCAAAATATCCCTGAAGAGGAAGAGACGGGGGGTAAGGAAAACCACAGTTACTGTCCCCAAATAACTGCGTCCCTGTCCCAGCCTCACAAGCAGCCGAGCGACGCCGGCTCCGCAGGGAAAGCGGGCAGGAAACTTCAAGGCGCGGCGGCCGGGCGAAGTTTACCGGGGGCCGGAGAGGCGAAGCCACGGAAAGGGGCACCCGGGGTGTGTCCCCAGCGCACCCCCGCACCCCGCCCCTCCTCTTACTTTTGGATGATCTGGGGCAGGCCGGCGGGGGGCGGAGGTGGAGGTGGCAGCGGCTGCATCCCTCTGGGGCCCGGGGCTGCGGGCGCTGGGGCGCCGGGCACGCTGCGGGCATCTCTGTCCGGTTGCTCGGAGCCGCTGGGCTCCGCGTCCTGGCTCATGGCTGCGGCCGGCACC